GGCCTGCCGACAACGATACGTCAGCATCTAAGCGCGAGGTTCGATGAGTCCTCCAGTCTCATCGTCGCCCGGGATCATGTCCTAGGTCCATGCTGGCACATCCTTACCTGCGGCGGTGAGATAATGGCGCGAACGGCAAATGAGGGAGTTGGCGCCAGTCTCACACTCCAAGCTGGCAAGACTCATCACGTTGAAGAAAAGACCCTGACTATTTCACTTTAGAATTATCATCTACCGCCGCACGCAGCCATCTGCTGGTCTCCTGTCCTCCCTCACCCCGTCGACTTCAGCTGAGGCGATGCCGACTATTATGATGGTCGTACTCGCGCTAGTCTACATCTACCACAGAGGTGTCTGTTCCAATGCTAGTATTGCTGCCCTTCTTCAGTAGAGAGGTCTCGGGTAGTCCTGCCAAGCACACTATGCAGTTGCAAGACGTTAACAGCACGCCCGGGTATGGTGTACTCGCGCGTCGCTTGTTGCTACCAGGAGTGATGCCACGGGATCGTCTGGTTGGGACGGTGTGACCACTCTTCCGGAATTCGATGAGGATGCCACAACCAGTCCGATTGAGAGACTATTCCCAGATTCAGGTGGGTGGCATGGGAAAAGGTGGCCTCTCCCGGCCAAGTGCCGGGCTACTACGCGTGAGAATTTCTCAGCCACACCCGAGACGAGTCCAGAGTCAGAAGTTCTGACTCGGAACACCCGACTCGGGCGTTTGGGTCGCGGGTTTAGAGGTTTGAGTTTCAATGCCTGGTGCCGTTTTCTCACCTCTCGCTGTTCTTCTAAACCTTCACGAGATCCGAGATAGATATGCGTTCTATAGGCTATATTTTTGACCAGATGAAGCAAACTTCATCCACCGATAAGAGAGGGCTAATGAGAGGATTCTCCTCATCGGAAGTAGTTCCTGGACTATGCTCCTCAGAAGCAGCTGCTGTGATGTCCTGAAAGTAGTTGCCCGCTTTGTGGCACAGAGTCTATGCCATGGTTGCATTCGTTGGGCCTCGGAGTACTGAGCCGAAGATGACAGGGTCCTCGATTACGACAGGGGTGTGTTCGGTACTCGTGTTCGAGTACTCCACATGCAATATGTGAAACGCTGGGTTTTCATCTGATTCGGGCACTCAAATCGATTACCTATGCAGTCGCATGTATCCAATATACTGTATAACCTTCTCTCTTCTGCATGGGGGTGTGATGAGTCTACGGGAGCGAAACTTTCACTAATAGATTCACTGAAGTGAGCTCGACGCCCTGAGCCTCAAGCTCATTCATCCGAAATACCACCGAGTTTTAAAAGGTTGGGCTCTCGGAGGCGATGATATTGTATTGACTAAAAACACCAGCGAAGACAGATCTGGAAAATTGGAATTCGTCCTCATATGATGATGTGAAAGAAATATCAAGATCCATGTACACAACAATAGGAATTCACTCATTCCGATATGGTAGGTTCGCATGCCTGCATTGCAAGCATCAACAAAATTATCGCAAGAATCACCTGTCTATTAGTGGACAATGGAGAAAGCCAGACGCCCACATCAACGATTCCTACCGCACAGTATGACTATACCGTTGCTGGTACTAAAAATTCGCTTGTATGCTCTACGATGTGTAGAGAGAATCCTTCTGAAGGACTCCGTTATGCTATACGATAGCGGGCGTAGTAGTAGAAGAGCTGTGTTTCATCTGACATGAAAATTCAGTTACAAGCTTGGGAGAGCGATATATTCTGCTGTGCAGATCGAGTTATCATAGCCATAAAACTGATCACTCACATTTGAGCCTCAAAAATCCCGTCTTCTCATATACATGAATGGCGACAGGAAGGTTCTTATCCACCATCAGATACATAGCGACCAGGTTTGGCCTAGTTCTGCCGAGCTAAAAATGGTCAATCCTCGCATTGGGTTGACTCTAGATTCGCTGCGAAGCGAAGCGACCTTCCACATATTCGAAGTCTTATTGATGAGTTCCTGTCCTATCTTCTTCCCTTGCCAATCTTTAGCCACTCTGAGCTGAAATTCAAA